TCACACATGCTCCACAAAGAGAGACTGGTGCTATATATATATATGCATATGGCTGAGGACGTACAATAATAATATTGACCCAGTTGCCCCCACTTGGTCACTCGTTCGAATTCCAGGAAAAATCATACTGCAATTGGCCATGTGCTACAGTGGATTTCGCATTCAAATAAGACAAATCATACTGCAGTTAGTTGGCCATGTGCATATAGAATTCAACGACTAATTTAATTATTATTTTATGTTTTTAATTTATATTCATTGACAATCAGCAATTGAAGAAAGGTTTAGCAGCCAAATGAAAAAATTCATACAGCAGTTGGCCATGGGCACATACAATTTCAAATAACTACTATAATTAATTAATTAACCCTAAAATTAATAAAACATGCTCTAGTTGCTATACTGTTATATATATTTTTTTTAAAGTATAAAACATAAAGTGTTGACTACGTAAACCACTAGCAATTATAAGGTCATCGATATTTGAAGACAGTACAACTCATCACTACTACAAAAATCGCAATAGACAACGGGAATTCACTATCGTGAAGTCAAACGCCATTTTTTGCTACATAAAACCACAACAATAAATTACCAACATTGTTACAATATACTACATCATCTCTAAATAAAAACCCACGATTAATTAATGCAAAAACAGTAAAAAGGCCAACTTTGACAAGCTTAGATGACACTTTTAGAAACTTTGCGTCGTCTAAAGGAGATAACATAGCAGGTTTTACCCACATCCCGACGTAGCACAAAGTGACCACAACCCTAAATATTAACTTGCCATCATGTAGAATCCCTTCCACAACGGTACATTAAAATAAACCGCCATAGTTAATAAATATTCCACGATGCTTATGGTCGGTATCGACATGCAAATAAAGTAGTAACGGCTGTAAATATGGAAAGAACGTAGTTATTACTAAATTTTTTAATATAGTAAAACGATGCTATTGGTTCACAACCAAAGACGCTATTGGTTCACAACCAACGTCTAATTAATATAAAAAACAGTAAAAAAGGCAATGTCGATATGCTTAGATGACGATTTTTGGAACATGGGTGTCGTTTGAAGGTAATAACGAGTCACAATTTATCCACATCTCGCCATAACATAGAGTAACCATGACCCTAAATATTACATAACCGTCGTGGTTAATAATATTCCACGATGCTTTTTGTCCTTATTGATGTGTAAATGTTGTAGAGATGGCGACTTGACTGCCATCTGTCTCAGCAAGGAGGCAAGCTGGCTGATTGACACCAAAACCATGAGGAGCTGTCTTACGACTGGTTTTCCAGCAGCAAAAGGATAGCAAATCAAAGGAAACATCCCTTGAAACCAGTATTTTCTTCTAAGTACTTTTTCTCCTGACATTGGACAACACTCAAGTTTTATCCTCCACCCATCACCGTCATCGTTGGAATTTTTTGCCTATAAATATAAAGGCTCAACAACAGCACTCAAGGACTCTCTCTCCAAAATCAGACGCAATGTCCCTTAAACACTTAAATAAACTTCAAGCTTTCCAAACAACCAACCTACTACCCAGATAACTAGTTGACAACTCATGCGCTTATCTTTTACTGCTCTGCCATCTTCTTGGTATGATCTTTGTTAATTAATAATTAGGCTAGCTTCCTTTTAAACAACTAAAACTTGTAACAGATTGGATAGAGAAATCTCCAATCTCTTCATTATTGCAACTTGTTCTTCAAAATAACTAAATGGAGAAATCTTTAGCTTTTGTCTTAACTTGTTATCATGCTTGAGATGGATAGAGAAATCTCTAGCTTATGGAACTTTATTTCCTATGAAGTTTACATTACATTCCTACCATTTATCTTTCTTGCACTTTACTTGCCAATAATTTACTTTCCTGCACTTTATATTTGAATTTTTACTTTTCAGAATCATATAACTATTCATTGTTGGACATGCCTAGAATAAGGGTTTTTAGTTTGAGTAGGGTTTTCTTAGCCTAAAAACAAGGGTTTATTTAGGCCCGAATCATACTATTGGGCCCGAATTAACTAAGTCTTAACCTAATCCAAGGTTATCTTAGGCCCAAATTAGGTTTTTGTACCCAATCAAGGGAACATTGACCACAACATTGAGTTTTCTATCTAGCTAGGTATCGTTTGTACCTACCAAACCATAGAGCACAATTGAAAGAATATTAAAATCCTCTTAATTGAGGCATAGAAAAGAATTCATCTGAGTCTGTACCCCCCTTTGAGTACAATGGCTTTCGTCAGAGGTCCAAAACAAGCGCAAATCTATCTAACAAAATATTCTATATCACATCTATTGGGATGGTCTCATCCCTAATAGTGGCATGCCTACGCAAACTACAAATCGAGCTAGAAAAAGCAGGTAGCCAAGGCTAGGCTCATGCTCTCCTGCCATTTTCAACTTGATCCAACTTTTAATTTTGTTCAAAATTGAACAATCCTCTCACGAGCCAGAGATCCAATCAGGGCATTGGTGTTGACTTAGCCTCCTCTCTTTTCCTGCTCCATTCTCAAGAAGGAGCTGACATACTCAAAAAGGCATCAATAATAATGAGGATCTTCGAACCCTCAATTATACATACACGATTGAAGAATCACTTATATTTTTTAGATCAAGTATATATCCTTGACCACCAATTATATTTTGTAGATCAAGCATGTATCTTTGATCTCTTTTGTAATGATAAAAGTTAAAACACTATCACAAATGATATGTTGAAGTAATAAACTTGTAAGATATATACAGCGATCGCTATCAAAAAAAGGGTTATTTACTCAAATAGTCCTCAAACTTATACCTGAGTTGCATTTTGGTCTTTTAATTAAATTATTTGTTCAAATGATCCACTAACACTATATTAATCGGCAAATTGGTCCTAAAACACTGCAAAACCAACCAAACAAAACAAACACACAAATAGACCTAGATCCAAACAGATCTAGGCTAAAAACCCCATATCCAAATAGATATGGAGAGAGGAAGAGGAGAAGAAGGGCGGAATGGTGTTAGTCTAAGAAGGTGTAGTCAATTAGAATTTTAGAGGATCTTGAGAGACTTTTAAAAATAATTAAAATTTAGATTAGTAAATTGAATCTTTGGGTTGTGTCATTTGGTATCTTGTCTTTGTGTGTTTGGGTTTGTTTTTACCTTTCATTGTTTCGCTTATCTGTATACATGACTTGAAGCAAACTTTCATCCTATATATCGCAACCATAAACTATACTGAAAATATCCAACATCATCAACACCTACAACTTGGATTTGAAGGTAACACATATTTTAATTAATTGGTTTAAAAGCTGGCACATGTGAAGTTTTCGTTAGATCTGGATGTAATTCAGATGATCCAAGTCAGTTGGCTTAAGCAGTAGGTCAACAAAAACACTCTGGCCTCCTTCCTCGAAAAGCTTTTAGAAAGAAGAAAAAAATTATAGCCTGATCATGTGAAAAAATTTCAGGCTCCGCCCTTGTATGCAATCAATGTAGAACTTTAATAAAATTTGGCATATATTATTTCCAGAGCTAAACATTTGCTTCTAGAGCAATATACAATCACCTCTCGTCAGCATGTAACTCTCTAAAGGCAACAAGTTTAGCTTTGACATTAGCATTTTCGTATTTATACACGTTACTTTAATACTTCTGATGCATTATTTGCACAGTATCATTAATTGTTCAGCGAGCCACCAAAGCCGGACTTTGTTTTGGAAATTCAGCCTTACTTCCCGATCCAAATGCCGGTTGTTTCTCGCTGCAATTGCGACCGTGACTTCCCTGATCGGTCTCTTCCTCGATGGTTTCCAATCTTTTTCCAAAGCTTGGCCTGCGCTCCACACGAACAAGACGTGGTGGCGCTGCTTCTGAGCTCTGCAAAGTGATGAGACTTGATGACCTTGACATGCCTCTTCCTTCTCTTCAATATCTATGCAAAAGTAGCAGCATGCACACACTTAATTATAAGGCCAGAAAGCATCCATTATTTGGATGCGTCAAGCGTCATATATTCTCCACAAATTTATTAAATTCATCCTTTTATGCATGTCTTTGCTTTTATCAGGAAGGGAATCCATATTGAAATATTTTATTAATAGTTGATTCCTTTTGAGAATCATTTGTGCAGAAATGCATGTATGTAGATACGTATTTTACACGGCAATATGCCAAATTTTGTACATACAAGTGGGAATTTTGATGTGCCATGCATTATTAATGTTACACGAATTCGCCAATGCATTAAAATACTGGCCATTGGATGTTCAATCAGATCAACAATATTCTCACTGATCATCAAGTGAGAACAATAATGCACCGTCATTATTTATGATACATGCACTTTCAAAGAATCCATGCGGTCAATAATATTCTCAGTGGCAGTTAGATGGATAGCAAGGAATTGAATCTGTTCTTTCTCCTTTTCATTGATTTTCTTTCATGGGGTGTTTGAATCAAATCTGAGAGAGAGATGAATATTTAGTAGGACGGCCGGCCAATACACGATACCTTACGTATACGTTGGGTCAAATGACTTTTTTAGTGTTTGTAGTATGGCTGGTTTTCCACTTTGATTCTTATATATCATTTCAGTTTTATCAATTTTAGTCCTGTTGTTTAGTTAGAAATTTAAGTCCTACAGGTTTTAATGAGGTTGCGTTCCTACATGCAGGTTCTTTTGTAACGTTTTATGACGGTTTCTAAAGATATATCCCATCGTCTAAAATAAATAAATAGAAGTCCTACAGGTAAAAATTTGTTATCCTGGGTCTTCTTTAGCTTTGGATGGACTTGGAACCATGCTTCTCAAGAAATCGAAAAGGAAATGGCCAAAAACTATTGGGCCATGG